GCGCAGGATAGAGCAGGGTTTAGAGCTGTTGTGCATAGGGTCGCTATGAGTCGGAAACGACTCGATGGCACATAACAACAACAACAACAACATTTAAGTCTATTGCAGGCTCTATTGTTGTGTATGATCCAGTCAGAACTAATCTATAGCTTATCCATCAGCAGATTTTCAGAGACAGTAAATCACATGGGAAGAGACTGTCCACCATTCTTTTGTGGAACAACTGGTGGATGAAAATCATGTGCTTTTGGGTTGGAAGCACAACTCCTTACCCCTAGCCCACCAGAGCTGGGTAGCAGGAAATTCTCATGCCTTGAATATTTCAGTCCTATATAGAGGAAAAACAGAAGAGTGGAGTTAAACTAATTTATCAGTCAAGGATTCTGGTAGAGAGAAAAAAAATGTGGAGCCCTTTCCCACTGCTTCCATCCCTACCCTTGCTCTTCTGTATTGGCAAATATGTGATAAAAAAACCTTTGTGGTATAAAACGTATCTCAGGTGAAGGTACAGCCGCTTTCTCATGTTTCTTATCTATTTCTAATGTACTCTATACCTCTATAATGTCATTTATTTTTTTCACTGTTTTATTAGATCTTTACAATCCTCTAAAATGTGGCATCTTTTATAGATGAGAAAGCTAAGTTATGGAGAGGTGTAGCGGCTTTCTGAAGGTTTTACAGCTGGTCTATTTTATAGCCAGGGCTGAAGTAGAGTTGTCTAGGGTTCTTCTCACAATTTCAGTGATGAGTGTGCAGGTTTGAGAGAGGTAAATATGGTGGAGATATGAAAGTATAGATGGAAACAATGTATTTCTCCAAATTTTAAGTTGTTATGCATGTTAAAGTGAATTTTATAGCGCTACATACATAAATGTGCATACATGTATTAAATATATTTAAGTAGAAAAATGAATAATGAATATTTATATAAATAAATTAATTACATTGTTGTAAACAAGTGAACATTTAAAAATTAATTTTTTTATGTTGGCAGATATTTGAAATCCCAATTAAAACTCACTCAGAATATCTCCTGAAAGTGGAAGTGAAGTTTCAGCTAATTGGTGACTTGACTAATGCTTTGTTGTTGTTGTTGTTATGTGCTCTCTTATCAGAGACAACTTGTAGCTGACCCTTAGTGGGTTTTCAGAGGTTGTAAATTACATAGGGGGAGATACTTACATCGTCAAAAATAGCCCATTTTCTATGGTAGGGTGCATGCCATTGTGTGACTAGTACTGCATTTTCCTTCTTGCTTGCTATATTTTAAGAACTTTCAATTTTCTCATTGTGTCATTGTGTGTTGTGTGGGTTGTCTCTTTGTGTGTCTCCTTTTGAAGTGGCTGAACTCTTTGGGGTTGATGGCAGTGGGAGTGGTGATGGGGACATGGAATTCTTCCTTCCAACTATTCACAAACGTGGTAAGCAGCTGTTCCAAGGCCCTATAAAGTTACAAGTTGGTTTTTTTTTCCCACCTTTGAGACAATACTAATAATTTATTAACATATAGCATATATAGGTCTTTTACATGTTTTATCTCACTTATGATTAAAATTACTTTGTAAATTACCACTCAAGCCGTTTGATTTCTTTCTCTTGAGTCAGAACTGACTCATAGCTGACTCACCTTAGGGTTTCCAAGATGTACATCACACAGCTTATCTTCCTCCCTTGAAGCTCATGATGGACTTAAAGTGCCATAGAGCGTGGCTTTTATGTCAACAGTATAGGTTCCTATGGACTGTGAACCCTAGGATAGAACTCTCTAAAGTACCACTTCCTCCTTGTTATAATAATTCAGAAAGGTATCAAGTTAGAACCCAGCCTCCCCTTCTTCTGCTGTTTAGACCTTTTCCTTCCATGAAACCTGAAGCAATTTCTGATCCCAATGTTAATTGAAAGGGAAAATTATTCACACTCTTACTCTGATATAAGATTGACTTAGTTTTCTAGAATTAGTAAAATTTGATTTTTAAATGCCATTGATGCTTTATTTAGGCCAAGAATTATTTACATTTTACTTGAGTATCACTTGTAAAAATAGATTTTGACAAATATTTTGCATAACTTGGAGTGCCTGGCACTTTCCTTATAAATGCATCAAAGTTATTTTCTACACAAAAGAACCGTAAGTAGTTACATGTAATATTTAATACAAATTAGTGAAGGAAATTGAGGATAAAATAGAGTTGCTAACTGATGGACTGGAATATTGACTAGAGGAGGAATTGTGAAGTCAGTTTATATGTAAACATAATTCAGCTTTGTACCCAAAATATTTTTCCATTATTGAGAGAGAATACATAGAATACTTGGTTCTTCTTGTAGGACTCTAATGAACCTCAAATGCTTCTTTTTCCCAGCATGAAATTTTATTTTTTAGTGTTAGGAATAATATTTTTTTTAATAAATTTTAAAGATAATTTACAGAGATTTCAGATTTCCATTCATTCATTGTTACACTTTTATCCCTGCCCAGCCCTCCCCCAAGTTCGCTCTTCTCTTTGAAAAGTAAAAGAAAAATTCCTTCATTGGTATACAATCCCCTCGTCCCCTGCCCCTAGTATACTCCACTATGTAACCTTCAGTCTGGACTCTGTGATCCTGACTTCCATCAATGTCTCATGTGACTTCAGAACTTAATTACTTTTAGAAGTGTCAGTTTCTTACTTGTATATGTAAATTAAACTTAAATTTGAGTATATTTTTTGAAAAATATTATTTACTTGAAGCTTGATATCTTTTTATTTAGTTACAGGTTTGTTTAGCACTAAGAGTAAGTAGATTTATAATTCTGTAAAATGGATTTGGAGTTACAGAGAAACTATTAATTCATGCATATGCGAATCATTTTGGCTCATGTTCTTTCCAGGTCAGCAAAGGTCATGGGAGACCTTCCTCATATAGTCTTTGTTGAAGATTTTCTATTTAATAGTAAACAAGAAAGAAAAACAAATTTTCCTGATTCATTTCCTGTTGTGTACCTAGACTAGTCTATCACAGTGGTGCCAACGTAGACAGAGGTCATGAAAGTGTGAATATGTGTGGCAACTATTTAAGCCTGCCTTCTTTCTAAAACCAATTAGGACTTGCTCACTTATTAAAATGATTTTTTTTAAAAAGTTGTTTTCTGGATTTTCCTTTGGCTTGTATATTACTGATTAGTATTTTCTTGCTGCTTATTGGCATTTATTCATGCAGCCAGTCTAGGAGTGGCTTCTCACATACTAGTGACCATAGCTGCCTCTGACCATGCTCATGGTGTATTTGAATTTAGCCCTGAGTCACTGTTTGTCAGTGGAACAGAACCAGAAGATGGGTGCAGCACTGTTATTTTAAATGTAAGTACAATTTCCTTCTGCATTTTCAGGAAACTTTATGTTCTTAACATTTGTTTTATTATATATTATGAAAATATTTTCAACTTTTCTTCTCTATGTAGGTGGTAGAGAATAAGTGTAGTCGTGCAGATACAAACAATATATTAACTTTATAATTTAATTGTGATTTGGCCTTTGTTTTGTGCTTTATTTTGCATATATATTTATCTTACTCTTTGGAGGATTCCTGCCTCTTAAAACTACAATGACACTGGAGCAGAACCTTAACAGTACAATCCCAATGTCTAACTACTGGAAACACTTTTTTTAGTCTCTATAACCAGTTTTATTACATTACAATAATTAAGAGCATACAGTTCATGACAAAATTATTACAAATTTCAGATCACTCCACAGCACATAGCCCTATAAACATTTATGGAAGCATTTATTTTTAGCTCATGGCAATGTAAAACATGGTCATTATAACCACCAAGCTATTAAGTATCCAAAGGATATATTTCAACAGTTACTTCTACCCTCACAGAGTGTGAAAAACTGTGATGTGGCTCTTACAGCTTCTTTCTGGAAATAATTCATATCAGTTACATTGCTTTTCTTTGGCTAGATCAAGTGATATGTCCGTGCTTGGGGGTGAAAAGTATAATCATCTTCTTTTTTGTATCCCAGAAGTAAATGAAAATCTAGGGTAGATTTCTATAGAAATAATAATAACAAAAACTTCTCTGTGTGTGTTATGTGTTTTATATATAGTGACTCTATATAGTGATTCTATATAGTGATTAAACAGAAGTCTATTCCTAAATGAATCATATTTCAGATTTCATACAATTAAAGATGAAGAATCACACAAAGAACCCTTTAGGGTACTTTTGGTAGATTTTCAATAAGGCACTGATTTTACAAAGAATAATGATTCAACGTGATGAAAACAGGAGACTTAAAGGAAAGGGCTAACTATTATTAAATTTCGATGGCTAATTTAATTATGAGTTAATATTCATATGACAAATATATGTAAAATTAATTTTAATTAGAACTTACTTGGAAAAAGTTTTTTTTTCTTAACATATTAGTTGCAAAGCAGTTTTTTCCTTCTTTACTATATTTATTATATCTTGAATCCAATAAGTTTTTAAGTGATTTTTTTGTTTTGTATTGGATATAAAAGGAAATGAAAAATATTTTATACCTGACTTTTCAGGAAAATATAATGTGTTCATTTCTTGCAATGAGGTGTATACCTTATTTCCAATGAATGTAAAAATTTCTGTGACCATAATAAAGTCTAATTGTTAATTCTATAGGCTGTTAGTTCATAGGGTCGCTATGAGTCATCTATGACTCGACGGCACCAAACAACAACAACAATATTAGAACTGCAGGAAAAACAGAGCTATTCTTTCACTAGACCCTGAAAATGCTCAATTTCTAATTTCAATGATAACTTATTAAATACCTTTAGTCTTGAGAACTACACATGCAAAATAAGGTAATATGCAATGTTAATGTCATACGTATTAGAAATAATGTTAAAAATTTATTTTACGTCTGAGTCAATTACTTAACCTGTCTTTTACTATTGAATATTTTCTAGGTTATCAGAAGTCATGGGACTTTGTCTCAAGTGACTTTGCATTGGAACGTAGACTCTGATCCCGATGGTGATCTTGCTTTCACTTCTGGCAACATCACATTTGAGATTGGACAGAAGACTGCCAATATCACACTGGAAATATTACCTGACGAAGATCCCGAGCTGGATAAGACATTCTCTGTGTCAATCCTTGGTGTCTCCAGTGGCTCTCTCGGAGTTTACACTAATGCAACATTGACAGTATTGGCAAGTGATGATCCTTATGGAATATTCATCTTTTCTGAGAAAAATAGACCTATTGAAGTTGAAGAGGCAACTCAGAACATCACATTATCAATAATAAGGTTGAAAGGTCTCATGGGAAAAGTCATCATTATGTATGAAACAATGGATGATATGGAAAACCCACCTTATTTTCCACATAATTTAGCTAGAGCAACTCAAGGGAGAGATTATATTCCAGCTTCTGGGGTTGTTATTTTCACAGCTAACCAGAGTGAAGCAACAATAGCGATTTCAATTTTGGATGATGATGAACCAGAAAGATCAGAATCTGTGTTTATTGAACTACTAAACTCTACTTTATTAGAGAAAATACAAGATCGTCCAAGTAAGTGCCCGTCAGTGTGATTTTAATATTATTATTAGCTATAAGAATGTTGACAATAAATTTAGAAGTGTCTAAATATTAAATTTTAGGAATTGTGTATTTACAAATAGCACAGATTTCTAGCTTGTAAAACTAGGAATAGTTCTGTTTTATCCTACTGGATCTTGTGAGCCAAAATCTCAGTAGCAGTGAGTTTGCTTTTGGTTTAAAATGATAGCAATCATGTTTTAATGTATTTGCTCTCCTCCTGAATACCTTTTTGATGGTGTTCACTATCATGTCATTTGCCTTTTTTTGATAGAATTATTTGCATTTTTGTTATTAAGCTGTTGAAATGTTGTATATAGTATAGAGATTAGGGCTTTATCAGACATGTAGTTTCTAATGAGTTTTTTCCTGGTCTGTTCATTCCTTTTTGGTCCTTAGATAAAGAGTTTAATTTTGAACTTGATTTTAGAAGATCCCAGTTACCAGATCTTCAGTTATTGTTGCATTATTTTTTTGAGAATAAGTTTCCCTAAATATTTTTGAAATAATAAAGAACTAGAAAAATATTATGATCTCATTTGGTTGATGAAAGCTATCTGCTGCTTCTTTATGACTTGTGGCTATTTCCTGTATCTTTGATGTTTTCGCTTTTAACTCTTCTTTCTTTCAGTTCCAAATTCTCCACGCCTGGGACTGAAGGCAGAAACAATTGCTCATCTGATTATTACTGCCAATGACGATGCTTTTGGAATACTTCAACTTTCAGCACCAGTTGTTCGAGTGGCAGAAAATCACGTTGGACCCATTATCAATGTGACCAGAACAGGAGGCGCATTTGCAGATGTTTCTGTGAAGTTTAAAGCTGTACCAATAACTGCAATTGCTGGTAAGAAAAAGATACTGAAAGAGAAAAGCAAATTGTGTTAGAAGGATAGTGTCTTCTTGATAGCAGTTTTGCAAAGCTGCTTTTAGAAAAAATAAACTAGAAAACAAATGCATTAATTCCCGCATCTTTTGAAAGCACAAAATCTAAAATTATGCCATGTATTTTGACACTGCATTTTTATTGTAGAATGTATGGAACAGGTTTGGTGGTATTTTAATAATTGGAAAGGTGTGATGACCAAAATGTGTCCAAACCAATGAAAAGTAAACAAAGGAATAGCTTTTTAGATTCTTTCTGTGATTACTGAAGCTTTTCAAAAGGAATTCATGTGCAAAGGACTACTTGGGAATATAGGGGTAAACTAGCAGCCTGTGAGTTAATTGCTGGGCAGCAGACTTGTCTCTGGGCTTACTCATCTTGCTTGCTGACTTATGGGAAATATGCAAGAGACCATGTTTAGCATTAACTGTACTATGCTTAGGAAAAAGGATGTCACTATCAAATGTAAACGTTAGAAATCACCTTTTTTGGTGGTGCAGTTATTGCATTTAGAAGGAGATTATGTAATAGTTATTTCTTCAGAGTATTCTCATTGCTTACTCACAGAAATGTGAATGTGAATGGATGCCTGACTATTTGAAATAAATCACCTGAACATGATAATTTCGTAAAAAGACTGGAGTTATCTGGTCTCATCATGGAGAAACCTTATGCACATTTATGAGTGGGCAGCCTTAACAAACTGACTAATTGGTTGTGTTCTGAGATGTTAACTTCCAGTGTCTGTTGAGTAATGTTCTGTGGAATATCCCTCTTTTCTCCACCTGGTGCTGTTTGGCCAGGTTAAAAAAAAAGGTTCCATTTTTCTAATACATATATTGGAAGCAGGAGTGGCATCCACTTCCGAGATAGCTTGCCTCAAGAAACACTATGAACTTAGAGAAGCGATGAATGTTGTATGTGTTCAGGACTTTCATTCATAGGATAGCTATGAATCATCTACGACTTGACAGTACTTAACAACAACAACAACATCAACGTGTGTGTGTGTGTGTGTGTGTGTGTGTGTGTGTGTGTGTCCGTATTGATATATGCCAAGAGTTGTAGAGGGGCTTCAGGCATTTTGTTCATAGGGTCACTATGAGTTGCGCTCAATTTGAAGGCAATCAACAACAATATAGAGCTAGCTAGCTAGCTAGATGATAGAGATATAGATGGTATAGACATAGATTATATTTAGATAGATATAGATATGTTGTTGTTATGTGCCATTGAGTCACTTGCGACTCATAGTGAACCTATATACAACAGCTCTAAACTCTGCTCTGTCCTGTGCCAATCTCATTGTCTCCAACACATTCATCCCAATTGCCCCAGTCACCGAATCAATCCATTTCCCAGAGTGCCTTTCCCTCCTGCGTCTGCCCTCCACCCTCCCAAGCATGATATCCTTCTCCGAGGACCAGTCTCTCCTTACAATATGACCAAAGTATGTCAGACGAAGCCTCAGAATCCTTCCTCCAAGGAGCAGCCCGGTTTAACCCTCTCCTGGATGAATCTGTTTGTTCTCTTAGCTGTCCATGGCACCTTCAGCACTTTTCTGCAACACCAAAGTTCAAAAGCATCAATTCTCCTATCCTCCTGGTCATTGTCCAGCTCTCTGATGCATAACAAGTGACTGTAAAGACCACGGCCTGTACCGGTCACACCTTAGTCTCCAGAGATACACCGTTGCTCTTCAGTACTTTAGAGAGGTCCCTAAAAGCAGATTTTCCCATTGCAATACGTCTTTTAATTTCCTGGCTACTGGTACCAAGAATGTTGACTGTGGAGCTGAGCAAACTAAAGCTGTGAACAATCTCAATCTCTTCACCATCCATCCTGATGTTGCCAATTGATCCAGTGGTGAGAATCTTTGTCTTCTTGACATTGAGCCTCAATCCGTATTGAAGGCTGCAGTCCCTGACCCTCAGCAGCAAGTGCTTCAGGTCCTCCTCAGTTTCAGCAAGCAGGGTTGTGTCATCTGCATAACACAGATTGTTGATAGATCTTCGACCAATCCTGATGCCACATTTCTCCTCAGAGAGCCCAGCGTCTCAGATGATCTGTTCTGCATACAGGTTGAAAAGATATGGAGACAAGACACATCCCTGGTGTACGCCCTTCCCAGCTTTGAACCATGCAGTGTTTTCTTGCTCTGTTCAGATGACTGCCTCTTGGTTCAGTGTAAGTTTTGCATTAGCGTGATCAAGTGTTCTGGGATTCCCATTCTTCTCAGAGTCTGCCACGTTTGTTATGGTCCACACAGTCAAACGCTTTTGCATAATCAATGAAGCACAGGTAGACATTCCTCTGTACACCCTGCTTTCAGCAAAGATCCATCTAACATTAGCTACAATATCCCCAGTATCGCGACCCCTTCTAAAACCAGCCTGGACTTCTGGCAGTTCTCTGCTGATGTGCTGTTCCAGTCATTTTTGGATGATCTTCAGCAGAATCTTGCTTGCCTGTGAAATCAACGCGATTGTTCTATAGTTTCCACACTCTGTTGGATCACCCTTCTTTGGAATGGGAACAAATATAGATCTCTTCCAGTCAGTTGGCCAAGTGGTTGTTCTCCAGATTTCTTCACACAACTTGGTGAGCACGTCTAGGGCAGCATCTGTTAGCTGAAATATGTCAGTTGGTATACTATCTATTCCTGGGGCCTTATCTTTGTTGTTTCCTTCAAAGCAGCTAGAACATCTTCCTTCATCACCATAGGCTCTTGCTCATATGTTTCATTAAATGTTTCTGTATCTGCCAATTCCTTTTGATACAATGACTCACTATATTCTTTCCATCTTCTTTTGATATTTCCTGGGTCATTTAATAATCTGCCTAAAGCATCCTTGATTACAGCAACTTTAGGTTTGAATTTGTTCTTCAGTTACTTGAGCTTAAGAAATGCTGAGCTAGTTTGACCCTTTTGGTTTTCTGACTCCAGCTCCTTGCGCATTTCATTGTAATATTTTACTTTGTCATCAGTGCTGCCTTTTGAAATCTTCTATTCAACTCTTTAGTATCTTTAATTCTTTCTTGTGCTTTGGCTTCTCTGATCTCCAGTGCAATATTCAGAGTTTCTTCTGACATCCATTTTGGTCTTTTCTTAGATATAGATATATATTGATACAAATAGATATTTAAGGAGGGAAACAGATATAGATAGAGATATAGATAGTGGCCTAGTAGCAAGAAGCTGTGCTGCAAACCTGAAGGCATGCAGTTCAAAGCCACCAGCTGCTCCACAGGAGAAGGATGGGCAATCTCCTCCCATGCGATTAACTGCCTCTGAAAACCTGCTGGAGGGTCAGCTGTGGGTCGAGTGTCAGTTCATTGGTGCCCAATAATCCACTTCCTAAATAACATGCCTTTGGAAACTCTATGAACTTTGATTAGTATACACACACACACACACACACACACATGTTTATATATATACACATATATACAATTTCCACATGCTTTCACTAGTAATTTTAGCTTTTGTAGTTCATCTTAACAGTAAGATTGGAATTCTTGTTCAATTCTTTGTTCTGAAAGGATTATACATACTCTTTATGATTTATTTTCTAGAGCAAAGACCATCTTAGGTTGATGGATAACTCTCTATCTCTTTGTGTATAAATAAACAGAAATAAACATAAAGTAAACAGAAAAACTTAAGGGAACAACTTTTGGGAAGTAAAAGAATGAACTTGAAAATTCTTAATTATTTTACGATTTTTATGATATTATCCAATCCAGTGTTCTGGTGAGAAACATAATATATTTTTACTTATAATAGGTATACTCAAGAACCTTAAAAAAAGTCTTTTTAGACATGCCCATGATATATGGAAGCAGACATGGTAATAACACTGTATCGTGGCATGGAGGAGGAATAGTGGAAATGTATCCACATTTACAATACTCTTCTTACCAAAGCCATTTATGGAAAATAGGAACTGCATTGGAACATGTATCTCTAATTGGAAATGATCATATTGTTAATATTTCTATCCTTAAGCTTAAAAGATTACAATGTTCAAAATTATTTGTTATATATTTGTTTGAATTTTTGTGTCTTTTAACAACTGGGATCTACAGGGAAGAGAAAAGACCAGAGAATGGCCAAAATTATTGGGACAGCTATTGCTGCCAGTTTAGGGCCTGTGTTAGGAAAAGGAAGTCTTACTCATAAACAGTGCCACCCAAAGGTAATAAAGAAGGTGAGAATTGCTTCCACTGTGGAAAATTGGGCCACTTCAGTAGACAGTGTCACAGACGAGAGCCACAGATAGTCAAGGGAGAAGAGAGGAAGCTCCCACTCACTTGCTTTAAGTGTGGCTCTGAAGGACATTTGGCCAAGGGTGGCGGCGCATATCAGGTCCTCGTGGCTGACAGGACTGACAGGCCCCAGCTCCCAGCTGGAAACAAAGGAGGACACTACAACAATTTAGATC